GAAATTATCATTTTACATCATTATCTATCAGTTACTATGTTAAAGTTGTCTTTATAATAATAAGCTTGTAAACATATAGGTTGGTAATAAATTTTAGTGCAAAACATTTTTAGACTTATTATTCAAATAGGCCAATCTAAGAATAACAAATCATCTTAGTTTTGGCCTTATTTCTATGCTGGCCTATATGGCCTTATTTCCACAGGTAATAACTATTTATTATAAGAAAACACAACTTATTAATCTTTAACCATTATAATCTCATCAAGCACTAAGAAAAATATTTATTCATCAATATCATCTTGTGGAATGACGAGAGGAAGAATATCTATGCCTCCTCTATCTACAGTTCAGCTAAAGGACAACATAAACTACATCAAAGTGTGACTTGAAAGTGCTATTGATTGCCAAATTTTAACCTGTTGCTTTATTGCACCATCTTTTTCAACTTTGGGATGGGAAGGGAGCTCAAAGACAGGTTTAGTTATCGTACAATTCAGGCCTTCAAAAACCAGCTCTTATTATATGAAGCTTAAATTCTAAAACATTTCTGAAATTATCTTTATTGTAGATACCTGGATAGCTCCTATCAACTACTATCTACCTTCCTACTAGGAAACATTGGAATGTTTCCCAAACCGGCATCTTCCCAACTCGCCTGCAGCATATTTAATTCCACCAAATAAATGTACTTACAGGAGACTGAAAAACAGAAATGCTTTGGCAAACAAGGTCACTTTGGTGTAAGTTTCTGAGACTGGCCTCAACATTTCCGGTGTCTAGATTGTGGGTGCTGAAAGGAGGCTGTGTTGGCAGTTTTGATGACTGAAGCAGCTTCCTGACCATTGAAGTGCCATGCGCTCAATAATATATGGCGGGCCCTGCATTTTAATTCTTCCAGTCCTTCCAACAGTTCCCCTTATAGAAGCCCTCATGCTTGTCCTAAGTAGAGTGGTTTGTATGTCTAGCACTGAAGCCTTCTACACACAGAGGGAGGTGTATTTTTAAAGTTTTTATTTCCTTTCTTGATTGCTTTTTTTTTTTTTTTAAATGGTACTTTTCAGGCTGAAATACATCTCATACCATTGTAAAATAACCATTTTTTTCCTTTTCATAGAATGTTTTTTAAGTGGCAGAGTTATTTGTTAGTTTTTTCCACCACATATGATTTCAAAAATATACAAAATAAGAGATTATTATAATAAACCCTGATGCACCAATTACCCATTTCAACCATTATTAATTGATGGGCTGGCAATTTTACTCTCGTAAAACACTATTCAACCCTCCCTAACATAGGCCATTATTAGCAAAGTGTGATTTACCAGTTTCATGAAGTAGAGGCTCATTAAATTGACAATAGGATGTAAATATAAGATTTCTTTACATCTATATAATAACAAAAATAAATGTAATAAAACATAATAATATAATATAACAAGTAAATGCATTTGTTATATGAACATAAAAATAAAACATGAATTTAATTATTCTAATATATCATGATAAAATTGATACGTTAAATAAGCCTCTGGCATATGGTATGCCTTATAAATTTGCTACTATTTGGGGCTAGAGTAGTAACATCATAAGCTCTGCCATATTTCTCTGTTTTAGAAAGAAATGGTATATGGTTCCCCAGCTCTACAAGATTTCAGGTCATCATCATTTCAAGAAATTTTTACTAATTTCATAACAAATTTTGAACTGGCTTCTTTTAAACCATATTGTTCACACTAAAAATATATAGGTAGAATTATTAAACCCTAAAAATAGATCAAGTTAAAAATTCGCACTAATTAAATGTCTATCGCACTCACAATTTTAAGTATTTAGGGGCTAAGATTTTGTAAACAAATGATTTATGCATATTTTCATTAGGAAGCTGAACTGATTTGTAAGAGCTGATGTTTTGTGTATTCAAAAGTAAAAATGTTAAGGAAACAAAACCAGTTATAAAAAGGACAAGACTACCTGAGCAGCCCTTCCCCATGTGTGCTAAGCAATCACTCAGTTAGGGCTCTATGTACTAGTCTTGTAGGAAGTGATACTGATATACTCAGTTCTCTGGCAATTTCACTTTATCCTGACTGCTAGGCTAATAACACAGGGGTACAGAAATATAATATTTTCCCATCACTCACTGCATATGAACATGTTTTCCCTTTCCCCTCAAAAGCTAAAACCAAAACATCAGCCCCCTCCACATACACACCATTGAGTTTTGCCAAAAGTTTTTTTTTCAGATTGTGCATACATATGACAAATACTTGAAATATTACACACAATTCAAAACTTTCTTGTGAAAATATTTTAGTAAAAATGATGGTGTCAGAAAAATATTGTGTTTCTCCTTAACACTCAATCATGTAACTGTCAAAGAATCACTAACTCAAGCAACAATGAGTCTCTCAGTGTCATTGGTGCTATAATAATTAGCTAGTCCTATATAATAAAAGGGTAATATGCAAATTGACTGAAAGGCAGAATGACCAAAGCGGCAGCTGAACATCCTAAGCGGCAGCTGGACATCCCTTGAGGGTTCTCAGACTGTGAAAGGGTGCAGGTCAGGCTTAGGGAACCCTATGAGTGCACGAATCTCATGCAACAGGCCTCTAGTTATTTTTAATAGGAAAGGAGCAAAAGAGAGGTCAGACATTATAAGCATGGTCTTTTGGGCAGCTTCACTAAGAAGCTGCAACTTTACACTCCCCTGGGAACCACCGGTCCATTCCCTGCTCACCACTGGGAAAAGGGGAAGATGAGTGCATGCACAGTGAGTTAGGACGAGGTAGGAAAGGTGCCTGCCAGTCAAATATGGAACAGAGATCATTGGCCAGAGAGGGTGGGACCATTACCAGCCCATAAAAATTTGGGAATACACAATCCCAAGACAAAGGGGTTACTCTTTGGCTCTTAGCACTCTTGGCTCTTTGTGCTCTTGTGGCTCTCTAGCATTCACTTGTGTTCTCTTCATAGCCATGTGGCCGTATGGACCCCAGAGGCAATAGACTGATGAACTGCAGCAGGGGACACAAACCAAGCTAGCTTAATGCTGGACTGGACACTGCTCCAAGATGGAAAGGCAACTCTGGGCAACAGGCTTCATTCCAGCTCTAGTGAAGGCCCAGCTGGATTTCTTCCCCAACAGGATGAAGGGAAATGGAACTGGGAAACTCAGGTATAATTCCACAGAAACAAAACTTTCTACAATATCTCACCCTCCTGTGCGAGTCTCAGAAAATTCATTTTCTCGTGACATCACAAGAAACACACTTCCACCAGCCACCAGTGGGAGTGAGGAGAGCTCCCCACTATAACATCATCCTATAATCAGAACTGTGTTTTCCTTTCATCAGGGAAATTAAGTTTTTGATAAAACAAAATGAGTAAATGTTCAAGAATGCAATAGATTCTACAATAACATCTTTGATAATAAAAATTCAAATGCAAAGCAAATGTCAATCAATTCCCAGATTCGCAAAACACCTGCCTGTCTCTCACTGGGCTTTTCATGCGGCAAACAATCACACCGTTTATTGTTTTATGGGATTTTTTGTTTTGTTTTGTTTTGTTTTTTAATCCCACTGCTAACATGATGTCAGAGATTTTTTGAAATTCCTATTTGGTACTAATAGACTGACCAATGTTCAGTTTGGCATTTTATAAATCTCCTCCTTCAGGGTCCTTTCCCTCTGACTTTTCCTTCCACCTATGCCACTGCAATCTAAGAAGTGAAGGTTTTTCACTAGTGCCAGCAGCCTGGCTGCTCTCCCCAGACAATGCCTTCTCTTGAAATTTTCCTCAACAGCTCCCTCATAAAAACTTACCTACTGATTCATTTTCTAGGGCATTGTTTTCCACTTATTAATATACAGGGAAGATCTGGAAATCTCATTCACTTTAAGTGTTAATAGCAGGGAGAGGAATTAGTCTGTTGTCCCCCTAAGATATTTGCATTTTAATAGAGGACAATTTCTTCATTACTCAAAGGAATGGAAGATCTCTAATGGTGGAATTTCAAGCATCACTGACACTAGTGGAAGAAATATTTGGGGTAAGAACACTTATCATCAAACCATAATACTTGAGATAACTACATTTTTTATTTATTTTTATTTTTTTTTACTATCTAGACTTAAATTGTACCTGGATAGAAGAAATATTCATGTTTTAACAATAATCAAAGTAGAACTAAATTTAAAGCAAAAATCTGAAGCTGTTGAACAGCCCTATTTTTTAATGGGATGCATTATTATCATTCAGCTTATTATTTTTTTGTAAGTGGCATCATTATTCTATGCAGCTCTTCTCAATTTCATTATGTCTTCACCAAGGTGGCCTACAGTTCCTCTCAGCTGGAACCCAAAGACAGGCTTGGTCCTGACCTTAGACCACTGACCTCCCTTGTCTTGAGCACTTAATGAAGGGAAGTTAAACTTTTAAATTCTTTATTTGTTCCTTTGAGATATAAATCTTTTTTTTAAAAATCACCTTTCCAGTTTTACAACCCAGGAATGATTTTTTCAGAGACCTGAAGTCATTCCCTTGAAATGTAATCATCAAGAAAGATAGCACCTCTATTTCCCAGTTTTGCGGGAGGGTAAGAACCTAACTCTTTTGCGTGCCTTGCTCCTAGTTGTAACACTACATTCCTGTCATGAAGATAAGGGGAAGTTTACTTTTTCTTTGAGCAAAGCCAATTAGCAAACTCAGATGGCCTTCAATGACCCCATCGCATTTCACCTCTCAAAACCTCGCCTGTTTTTTGTTTCGGTGAAATTGAGTTCAGCATAAGATTTGGTCTCTTGCCCCTATTGGCAATAGTTTTGAATAAAGTCTTCCTTGCCTGTATAACTTTGTATAGTGTAATTTTTATCTATACATGGATAGATTTAAGTATCTATATCCAATTTGCTTACTTTGCCCAAAGATTCAAATATTATGAAGCAAACATCCCTGAACATAATATGAGGAAGGAAACAGAGGAAGTACAATACCTTTTTTTTTCATGTCAATGGCAGTTTCTTTCTCAATTTTCTTTTTGCCATCTTCTTTGTCTGGTAGTAAAATGAGGAAATTAAAAGCCTTTTCCTGTATAATTTTTATGTACGGGGGCACACATGACTACCGATAAGGTACATCTCATTCATCTTGTAAGTCAGAGCCATAAGTCATGTCAAATATGAATGAACTGGCATTCTCATAACAGAATAGTGACTTTGGTGTGCTTTCTCTTCAGGAAGGGAGCACATTTTTGCTAAGGTCAACAAAATTTGTCATGACAGCAGAAATATTAAAAAGCATTACTAATTAAAAATATAGTATGCTTCCATAGTTTCCCCAAAGTATTTAAAAAGGAATGTACTGAATGTTCCCTGGGCTACCAGGCCCCTGGAAACAGGCCAGAAAGTCAGAAATGGCTGAGGCTCACTTGGGACCCCAGACACACTATATGAAAACAACCTAGTAAGCAATCTAAAAAGAACAAAACATAGCAAACTATTCAACCAGCATCCTCCCTATGTGTTCAATAATGTGCTCTTTTAAAAGTCAGTTTCTATTAAACAGAATGGATTAAATAGTAGTCATATTTACATAAAGTATCAGGTAAAAAACCGAATTGGAATTGAACAGTTATTCCTAAGGTGGAGTATTGGGGAGGGGGGGATCAGTAAGAGTTTTAAAAATGTGTTTAAGTTTAAATTTTCTTTTTAAAAAGTTTCTCAATTTAAACTATATTTGGAATATTTATAAGTCTCAAGTGTATTTGTTGATAACAAAAATGAAATAATTAAGGAATTTGTTTCCTAAAAAAACAATAGCTTTGTCAGTGTTATAAATGGATACTAATTGATTTATGTGCTGGATGGTTTTTAAATTTCTTACCTTTCTTTATTGTTTCAGAAGTCACTTTCTTCTCAGCTTTCTTCTTTTCCCCTTCTTTTTCTAGAGAAGAAATTAAAAATAGTTTCTTTACAACAATTTAGTGGGAGAGAAAAGCTAAGATTGGAATGAAGGATTACTGTTCCGTCAATTCTGCCTCCAGATAGCTTTGTGACTTAGAGCAAGTGATTTAATCTCACTGAGCCTTGTTTTCCTCATTTGTAAGATAACAACACCTTGCTCAAAGGTAGGTAATGTTTACAAATTACTAGGCGCAGGGCCTGGTTCATAGCAAATGCATAAATCTGCAGGCCACTAATACTACTTACAGCTAGCTAATAACAAGATAGCTTCAGCTTCCCAAGCTAAACAATTGTTGAGGGTCTAAAGTGAAATAGTAATACATGAAATTACAACACATTTTTCTGAGGAATCACTTTTGCTGCCTTTTCCTATGTCCAGTTTCATTAGGAAGAATAAACCAAGCCATTAGCGATGCCTCATTTGGGCTAACTGTTTTTCAGATCTGCCTCTTGTCAGCAGCATTTGGAGCTGGTGACACTTATCTGGCAGTGTGCTGGGGACATAACTTCCTCTGCCCTCTCTGGGTGGTTGCATCAGCAAGGGTGCTCAGGCCCTTTTTTGCACCCAGAGGTTGCAGTGAGTGTAGACACTGCATACAGCAGTATGTGATCCCTGCGGACTTCAAGAAAGATTTCCGTTTCAGAGATCTGAGGTAGCCTTGTTCTGGGGGCCGATGAAATTTCAAATGCCCAGCCACAGCCATGGGACAACTGGACATCCTTGGACGTTTTTCTGGTAAGTGCACTCATTTCAAATAACAAAGCTCTGCTGCAGTGTCAGAGTTTCGAAAACGGGATACTCAGTTCTCTTAGGTTGGAGGCGGTGCATGTTGGCAAGAAATTGATTTTTATCTTCAATTAGTAGCATGATTCACCTTACAGTTGAAATATTTTTCTCTTTGTCATTTGCCTCTCAAGTACAGATGCTAAGCATCCCAAGATTTCCAGAACTAGTATGAGATTATTGCAATGCTGAAGAAATTCCAGGAGCAGTTCTGGCATGAATGCCTAAGCTGCCTACTAATGACTGCATCTTATTAAACACTGGGATTTTAATTCATTCCCTTTGGTGTCTCTCTCTTCCGCCCCCCCCCCTTTTTTTTTTTTACTGAAAAGATCAAAGACAACACTTTCTTTCAGTGGAGAAGTATAATTTATAAAGAACGTTTCGTGACTCCTACAGACACATGTTCACACTCTGTCCAAGTCGTCAGGGCATCCGATCAGAAGGCAAAAGCCAAGAAGTCAAATTCGGGTAGTTCCAGAGTTAGAAATAAACCAATTAAAATGTACTGCCATTCCTTAGAGCTTCATGCATATGAAATATGGAAATGGTGTTTAAAATCCTGAATAAAGATTCTCTTGATTTAAGCAGTATTGCTTTCAGCTTCCCTGGGGAAAATGTTATGTTGTCAAGGCATTTTCCATCTTTCTAAAATAAACACAAGTGCCAGATCATTGGACTAGCATTTGCTTAGCACCACCCTCTGATGGCAGGTACCAGAAAAGGGTTAATTAACATACAGAACACTTATCCATACACTCAGCCTGTATCAAAAACCCATGCCCTGGTCACCATAACATCACAACTCAGGACCCACATCTCTATGTTTCATCATGTAGATGAATGAATATTCCACCTAAAAGTTTGTGACAATTAGTCATTCTTATAGTGACTTCGGAATAAAAATAGATGCTTGAGGCCATAAGACGAAAGATATTCTTTTCATTTTTTAATTTTTTTTTTAAAGAGAATGCTCTTGGGCAATAAACTCTACCTTTAAGTGAATATATCTGCGGTTTTATTGGGGAGACACCATATTACTGCCTCAGTTCCTATTGAATTAATGCTTCCATTATGCATTCTGCCCGTGATTATGACCATACACTGTGAGCGTCATGAATAAGAGCAGGAGTCCACAAAAAGCAGGTATAAATAATATACTTTAATAACATTTTTATGAAGTAGACCTTTAAGCTGTCATTATGGGATGTACTTGATTTACAGCGGATTCATTTAAAACATCAACTTCTGAAGATTCTGCATTTCGTCAAGCGCTATTGTCTCTATTCCCTAGGTAGTTTGGCAGCAGTGGAATTTGGTTTTCCATTTATAAAAGACACAGTAATTTAATTATACCCTGCTTGGATATAAAAATAAACCATGTGTCTTTTATGGAACCTCTCTGTCCCCTGACATTTTTTTCCCCTCGGCAGTGAATACTCTTCCCTTTCCATCCACCTATGCACCCGCTCATCAATTTCCTCTCTCCCCTTCCTCCAATTTTTGCTGTTTTGTTTCTAACAAGCTAGAAAAGAGTCAGAACAGTTAATATCATATGTTTTCAGAGGATGTGCAATTAAGAGTGCCGATAGAATGTGAACTTCTCAGCCTGCTGCCTTTCTTAGGCAAAAAGTGTCAGAAACCCTGAGATGATGGTTCTAAGGGGCAGGGATGACAGGAAAGCCTGGTCGAGAGAGAAATCTTCTCCAAAATGGACAGCTCAGAGCCACAAATATGTTATTAGGTTCTGCATAAATTAACATCTGATGAAAGAAAAATTAAAAGACTCACTTTTTACTTTCTAAGCCCTTACAATGGGCTTTTCTCTTGCTTTTAAATGTTTTCTTTTTATGCCATCTCACAGCCAGAGAATGCACAATAGCTAATTATAATTGTAAAGCTTCCTAAGATGCTTGTTCCTAGCAAACGGAGAAAAACAAATGCAAATGTCTCATTTTCATATTGTGTTTTGTTCCTCCCTCTTTGCATTTCTGGTGTAGAGATTATCCAAATTTTACATGTCGGATGGGTGCTTTTCTTTTCATCCTCTGTGGCCAGGCTTGATCTATTTTTGGTCCTAATTAAGTGAACAGAGACATATTTCTTTCCTAACAATGCATTCCAACAGACATTGTCACTGTCACCTTGTTTCTCCGGAGTGGCAGAGATTGACTTGGAATTCCACTCACAACCATGGTCATGGAAAATTTCCCATAAACAGATAAGCTGAACTATAGCAGTGGTTGTAGAGTTCCTCCTTGTTATCTACAGAGAGCCATGGCCCTTGTTAGGTTGGGTGTGACGCTGGTCATGTGCTGTGGCACACTGATTTCATTTTTCTCACTTGAACAATGGGCCTACTAAAACCTACCCTGCTAGCTTGTGAAGAATAGAGAAACTGAGCTAAAGTTTCTCCTGGCTCCAAGTGCATGTTTAAACAAAGCAACAATGATAGCTATTACTATATTTTAGAAACAATAAAGATATGATTTCACATACGTAGTGATTTCTTAGGTGTGATACTTATTAAAATGTTGAAATAAATGCATATTAATTTGTATGATATTGTTGGAGGGAAGCTGTGTCTGGAATATTTTGTGTCGAGAAACTTTAGGACAAAAGTACCTATGTAAGAATCAACATATTGAGCTGAAATGAGGAAGTGGATTCCAGACTCAGTTTTGCTATAATTAGTAGCCACTGCCTTATGCAATTGTTTGTAAATCTTCTGATTTTCCTCATAAAAGGCAGGGGAATGAGTAGAGTGTATTTAAAGTTCTCTTTACCTGTTCATTTATTCACTCTGCAGATGAAACATGTGCCGTTTTACATTTCCTTCCTAATTTTGCTGGGAACAGTTAACTTAAAAATCTTTAGAGTTGTAAAGAGTTATTGTATGTTCTCTGCCTGTTATGACTTAAAAATTTTAAAGATAGAGAGAAGTCCATTTTTAAGCCTAAAAATGAATATATGTATATGCTCATGTATATTTGAATATGTATGCATGTATATATAATGTTAGGTGTGAATAAGGATCAGAAAAAAACTTAAAGCTTGGTTTATAGAATTGGGGCATAAGAAGGTGAGAGGTGATATTGCTTTTTTTTTTCATAGAGTTATTTTTAAAATATATTTTTATTGATTTCAAAGAGGAAGGGAGAGGGAGAGATAGAAACATCAATGATGAGAGAGATGGAGTCTACACTGGGGATGGAGTCTACACTGGGGATGGAGTCTACAACCCAGGCATATACTCTGTTAAGGAATTGAATCATGCCCTCTTGATTCATAGGTCTATGCTCAACCACTGAGCCACATTGGCATATTTTTTTAAGGTGGAACATGGGTAAATATTTCTGAATTTAAAAAGATTTAAAAAGATTTTTGAAAATAAAAAGTAGAAGAACCTATCCTTTGGGGAGAAGAAATTTTCTGGCAGAGAAAACAAATATCTGCCAACACCTTGAAATCAGAACATTCTAGATATGTTCAAAGAGGAGCCTGGGGACCATGTGGTTGGAACGAAGGTGCAGAAGGAGAGTGGTAAGCGATGTGGTCAGAGATGGACCAAGGCCAATCCCAGAGAATCATGTTATTCATTTTGTGAATTTTTCATTTTACTGTAAGATAGAAGACCACTGAGAAAGTTCAAGCAAAGAAATTATGTGATGATGAGTTCTATTTTAAGAGGAAATTTAGCTGTTGCTGGGTGGTGGGAAGTGCCCCATTGAATTTTGAGATCGTATTATAAGGAAGGAGACTAAGAAAGCAAAATAATTCAGTACAAACATTCTTTCTCCTTTCCTCTTTCATTCTCTAAATTTTATTTGGGACTTTTGAACTATGGAACGATGGTAGGAGTACTTTCCTTAACTTGCAAGCAGGTTACTATGACAGCAAAGCACTCTAACTTAAGGACTTCACTTGAGTTATCTAGCATAACTAAGCTGGCCTTTCAGTACCCTTTCATTGTCTTTGCCTTGACTTTTCCTTCAGTGATAACTGAATTATTCTAGGAAGCCAGCTCTTTTCACCATTCACTATTTAACAACAAATGTCCCACAACCAGCAATTCTGTAACACCTTGAGTGATTGCCCAGAGACTTTTACATAAATAGTTTATTTCCTGCATCAATAAATGCTTATTTAGCTTCATGTCCAACCCCTTCCCAGAGTCTAGAGTTTAAAAGGTTTCT